AAACTTTACAAGGCTAATAATGATGACCTAGTAGGTATCTTATGATTAGATATGAGTAATTGTATTTAGACTATTAAAGCACATTGCTGGATTCCACTTTTACTATAAAAGTGGGATGTTTAAAAGTGTTTTTTTTTTTGGCATATGTATACATTTACCTTATATTAACTTAATATAAAGATGTGTTTGGACTACTTGTAGATAAAATGGGAATGCTTTGTTTTATTTGTAGTTATTTTCTGAAGAATAACTTTATTTGTAGTAATTTGATGGAGAATAACATAGTTTCTCCCCATGTCCCAGTCCCTGTGTCTTGATCCTGCTGCCTGCTGCCATGTTTTCCCATGGTGCATTCCCTGTACGTCAGCCTGGACTTTTCCAATGGCCAACTGCCAAGCTCCTTGGCACCACACTTCACTCACCTCCCCGTACAGCTGCCAACTACCCAACACTGAATGTTTCTACGCTAACCGTCCCCACCTTAAAACATTTTTTTCTATTGATTGACCATTATTAACTTAATACAAAAAAAGGGAAGGATACCCATGAAGGGCTTTGTTTTCTTTTTCCATATAGAAAGATACTGGAAAATTGCCAGGCCACCATTTTCTTTGAAGATATTTGGAATATGAATTCCAAGCGTAGATTTTTAAAGGTGGCAATTCCACTATCTCCATTTCTGGAGGCTGTCAGTAAGCCACGCATAACTTCTAACACCACAGTGACCGTGGCTAAGTCTTCTCATTAACAACTGCAGCACAGGATCAAGACTCCTAAGAGCTGGGTTATATATACTCCAGTCTCCATGACTAATGAATGATTTTTGTATTACTAGTAGTAGCATATCATTTCACAGTTTTCGATTCCAGTCTCCTTACATTTAAATGGTTTAAAACATACAGTTGATAAAATATTTTTAAAGTTATAAATACTTTTAAAATAAATAAATAATACCTTTAAAAATAAATACCTTTAAAAATATAAGGCCTCCTTTTTATAATACCAGAGGTAATTTTGAACTAAAATTATTCACAAATTTTTTATCAACTCACAAAAGTCAAGAGTGGAGACAACAGGTAAGGTGAGTGACGTCAGGGAATGGGTCATTATGCTGTTTGGAAGGAGTATATGAGAATATGGAACATTTGAGCATAAGCAGAGAAAAAATGAATTCTCACTTGATTTCATTTAATGCAGTAATTCAAATTGTTAATATAATTTGCGTATCATGTGAATACTACCTCAATGGTATATAACTTCCATTTTTATGCATACGGTTTTTTTCTATCAGCTCTTTCTCTTGTTGGGATTTTGTTGGATATGTAAGAATAAAGGAGGAAAACATATTTTCAGTCCTGTTTGTAGTCATAACTGGTGTTCACACAGTGTGAGAGGGCGAAGTGGCTATATATGAAGCACAAATACCTTGCCTTGAAGTGACTGGCCTAGTTTTACCCTGTTGTTTCTGTTACTTCTTCCCTGAGCTGGGGCTACTTTATCCACATTTGTCAGGTTCATCATGCCAGCTTTCCAAAGCAAACAATCTCCATTGTTTAAGCTCCAACCAGCTGCTTAGTAGCCCAGGCATGTTAACCTAGCAGTTGGTTTCCCTAATCTGGACCCAGTTTAGTCACTAAGATTCTGTTCTGTTGTTTTTGTCTTTCTGGAGCTATGGTCCTAACTTTCATTTGCTTAAACTCTTGCGAAGTAAAGGTTTCTCCCTGTGTTCCAGCTCCTGTATCTTGATCCTACTGTCTGCTGCCATGTTTTCGTGTGGTGCATTCCCTATAAGTCAGCCTGGACCTTTCCATTGGCCAAGTGCCAAGCTTCTTGGCACCATACCTCACTCACCTCCCAGCACAGATGCCAACTACCTAACACTGAGGAGCGTCTCTGCTCTCACCAACCAGTGTCTCTTGGGCTTCTGCTTATGGCTTGCTTTAGATTCTCCTGACATCCCTTGCCTCTCCACACGTCTGTCAGCTGCTTCTATGACCTCAGGAGATGGCCTGCCAATCAATAGGTCTGCCTAAGCTCCAGGTCCTAGGTCCTCTGGACTGACACAGTCTGAGCCAGGTTCTAAAATGCCCCATTGCAGTAAATCTTTAATAAAGGTTTTCTTCCTGATAGAAAATTTCCTTCAAAGATTGTCTCTCATGATTGTCGTATGTCTCATGTGGTCAAAAGAGCTCAGTGTTCTTAGGCGTCTGGTACACTTACAAATCCGTGACAAGGAGGATCAAGATCTTTGCAACAGAAGTTAAGAAAATTCAATGTGAATCTAAACTCTCCCTCTCAAACAAAAACAAAAACAAACCCCAAAAAACTCTACAGGATACAAACATTTCAACAATGGAACATTTTATGAGACTTAATTATTCTAGAAGGGTGTAATTTGTCAACTTTGGACTTGAATTCATAGACTGCAGGATAAGAGAAAACTAGTTAATAATACTGCAGATACTAATGAAATTAAATTTTAGTTCTGCTACCCCCAAAGAGGCAGAAGTGTGAATTTGATGAACCCTAGAATCACCAAATGGTTAAGTGAATTTTAATACAGTCATTATGGTCTGCTCACTTGAATTAATCCTTCAATGCTACATGTACTGCTTTCTGTCATTTTTTAAAAGGTTGTAGTGTACTTTAAGGGTTGTTTTGGAAGTAAATGTAGGTAGAACCATATGTAGTTTGAAAACCTGTGGAACTGTTTTGAGTGACATGAGAATGAATGTCTAATGAAAATTATTTGTTTGCAAGATTGGTAGGTTAAAAAATCTAAATAGAATCTGAAACATTCATTTCTGTCAAAGGGAAAATGTAAAAAACAAATTCTTCATGTATATAAATAATCTACATAAATAACACATATAAATGCAAAATTTAGAATGACATATTTAATTAAATGAACACATTAAAAAGTTTTTTACTGCCCCCTGCTGTCAGTTTCTTAAAGAATTATAGTAAAATTGCTGTAAAGCTGACTCAAGGTGAATTAGTTGAACAGATTGGTCGGGGGGAAATAATTGCCCACCTCTAATCACACTGCTTTTCAGCCAGTAATGCTAATGTTTACTTCATGTGTGTGCACAATGGTATCAGATTAAGAAACCAACACTAGCAAAGCTTGTGTTAGTGAGCATAGGATTAGAGATACAGGGAAGTTTGTAATCTGCGAAATGCTATTAATAAGAAAGTACCAGTGTTTCAATTCAATCTTTAGCCAGTGATGTCTACTTTACCATTTTTTCCAAATCAAATAATTTTAACTTTTTTTTTTTTTTTTTTTTTCACTAAAAAAGGTTTTTTTTTTTTTTTTTTTTTTTGAGACAGAGTCTCCACTCTGCCTCCCAGGTTCAAGTGATTCTCGTACCTCAGCCTCTTGAGTAGCTGGAATTACAGGCACACGCCTCCATTCTCAACTAATTTTTTGTATTTTTAGTAGAGAGGGGGTTTCACCATGTTGGCCAGGCTGGTCTCAAACTCCTGGCCTCAGGTGATCCACCCACCTCGATCTCCCAAAGTGCTGAAATTACAGGCATGAGCCACTGTGCCCAGCCGTTGAGTTAACTTTTTAAATATTTATGTAATTTAGGTAAAGCATTCTGCATGAATAAAAGCAAAACTTCCAAGATAAGTGAATATTCATTATTTTTGTAATAAAATCCTGACTTGTTACGTTATTTTCATTTTGCCAAATACAATTAAGAAATGAGAAATAATGAAGATAATAAGTAACACTAATGCAGCAGTTATTAGCTGCGAGCCACTGCTTTAATTTTCCCCCATGTACTATTTTATTTAATCATAAAACAGACTGATGTAGGTATTATTATGCTTCCCATTTCACAGATAAAGAAACTGAGTCACAGAGGGGTAGAGTAACTTGACTAAGGTCCCACAGCTGGGCAATGGAATCACGACCAGAAACCCTGCAGGGGGACTCCAGGGTCTCTCTCCCCTTAACATTTTGCACAGGGGAAGGTATAATCTCTACAATGAAGTCAGAAGAATGTATAGAAATTCTAATGAACATGGTGGTGTGAGTGCTTATTAACTCTAAGTGCATACTCCCTTCACTGTTATTTCTTGCTGTCTCCATGCTCTAGTGACCAGAGCCTGTGTAGGAATAACAGGCAGACCTGGGGAGCTCCTGACTTGGTTTATCTTTCTTTCTTAGGAAAGTTCTGCCTTTCTTGTTTGCATCACATTGAAGGGGTGTGTGTGTGCTTATGTTACTGAATATGTGCCGAATTAGTCCATGCCTGAGACTGGATTATCCATTTGGGGGTAATTTTTGTTTGATTTTTGTTTCTTGTGTATGACAATCTTTTTTTTTTTTTTTTCCCCTAAGCTTTATGTTCGGGGATACACGTGCAGGTTTGTTACATGGGTAAATTACATGTTGCAGGGCTGTGGCATACAGATTATTTTGTCACCCAGGTAGTGAGATTAGTACCTGATAGGTAGTTTTTTGATCCTCAGGCTCCTCCTACTCTCCCCCTTCAAGTAGGCCTCGGTATTTATTGTTCCCTTTTGTGAGTTATTGGGGGCTAATCTGAAGGTTGGCCTCTACACACTTGTGCCTTTCGCTTCTGGATAGCTGCTAGTTTTAGCTATGCTTTCAACCATCTTTAGCAACTCATATTCAAATATACACACACTTTTCACAGTACTTCGAGTAAATCAGTTTCACATCTTAAGTGTGCCTAGTCCATACTAGTTCCACCGTCTTAGAGAACAAACTGTTTCCACTCCTCTCTGCCTGCTCAAGTCTTTTGCCTTCCCTCCATAGCACAGAGGGGGCATGACCACAGATACATCCAGCCACGGACAACTAGCACCACTCGTAGTGGCGATCCTGGGCTGCTGCTCTCCTTGCAAGTACTCTCCCTCAGTCTCCAGAGGGCTAATGACACAGGAAATCTTTCTTCCTCCCATATTAAAGTAACACCAAAGTCAACAAAATCTTTTGTTGTGCATAATAAAAAAATTCATACCTGACTCGAGGAGTGGGGTTTCCAGTGACTCTACACTCCAGATAAACTCGGCTCCCTTCTGCTACTTCTTGGCTCCTCAGCTTTTGGATGAATCGAGGTGCAGCTGGGAAGTGGAGGGCACTGTGGGGCTGTGGGTGAGACTTGCGGTTGCGTGGCACTGCCAGGTCCTGGTTGGCCTGGTAGCAATGCCTGGCCCCAGGGGACTTAACCTCTCTTTCCATCTCCCCTTGGTCTTCCGTAGGGCTCTGGCTGGCTGAGGCACTCAGCAGGGCTGACGGCTGAGTTTTAGGAGACAGGTACCCACTGTCGGGTGACGAGGACTCCCCATTTGGGCTTCTGTTTCTTGGCTTTGTGGCTTGTCTAAATATGGATGTCAGCTCCTCAATTAAATTAGCCGCCTTGTCACACAGCTGGCTCTGGGGGCCAGCCTTTCCTTGATGTGGCGTTTTGGGCTTTACGTTTGTGTTGGGAGCTTTTGCACCACGCTTGTCAGCCTTTCGGAGGCTCCGGATGTAGCTGGGCCTGGTGAGCAGGGGCGACATGGCAGGTTTCCTCTTTGAAACAGGTGAAGAGATACTCTTAGTTTGTTCTCCTGCCAGAGGCTGGACAGGTGTTGACCTGTTATCCTGAGGTCTCCCTGAGGTGTGTTCACCCAATTTGGTCTCCTTACGGGAAGGGTTTTCATGGAAACTTGCAGGGGAAGTATTGAAAATCTGCGAGATCTCCTTTTCCGAGTCAAAATCTTCTGTTTCGGAGTCGGCTATGGCTCTGCGGGCCAGGTCAAGACTCTTGTTGATCTCTTCCTGGCTGAGGAAAGCAGAAAGGCCTGGGAAGAAGTCAGCATTCTTGCTTTCTTCCTGCATGTCTGAGAAGGAGTCATAGAAGGACTCATGGGAGGAGGTCCCTGACATAGTTGAACGGTCTTCATGCACTCTGTGTCTGCTTTCAATAGGAAGACCAGAGGCAACGGCAACTGTTTTCTTATGCTCTGAAAGACAGCATAGAATGTCATTAGTAGCAATGATTTTTCCCCGTTTTATCATAGAAGTTCTAAGTCACAAATTGAGAGAAACATTAAAGTGAATGAATATAAGTTTTCTTTATTCTACAAGTTGGAAGAAATATCAAGTATACTTGTGTTCATCAGTTTATGATTTTAATACATGCCCTGTGAGTGCTATCAAATATCTCACTAGGCAGTATTAAATCATTCAAAAAGATGACGTGTGCAGTAGGCACTGTTAGTAGGATAGGGCTCACAGCCAGCCCCCCGCCCACCTTACTCAAACTCTAATTTGATTAATGTAATGAGATCAATAGAATGTTGATACTTTTAGTAAGTCTGACTCTGATTGTCTAACTCTAAACCACAAAATGCAGTTTAAGGATTCCAATTTTCATTTATGTATAGTTTTCAGTGAAATCTTTGAAACTTTATTGTCTCCAGTTGTGTTCATTCATAGTCATTCACTCAACAGTCCAATAGATGGTAGTAATCACTTATTATTACATTTCAGGTGCTAGAAGTACAGCTGTGCTGTATGCCAGGGATGGGCAACTTTTCTGGGAAGCGCCAGATGGTAGATACTCTTGACTTTGTGAGCTGTCCAGTCTCTGTTATAATTACTCAATTCTGCATGAGCGTGAAACCAGCCATAGGTGATATGGAAATGAATGAGCATGACTGTGTGCCAATAAAACTTATGGATACTCATATTTGAATTTTATGTCATTTTAATGTGTTTAAACTACTATTATTTTGATATTTGATTTTTAAACAACAGCTTTTAAATGAGAAAAACGTTCTTAGTTTGCAGGGCATATTAAAAAAAAGGGGTTGGGATGGATTTGGCTCAGGGGCTGAAGTTTGTTGACCCTTGATCCAGACTTAACAACACAGTCATCATGTTCAAGGAGTTAAAAGTCATGGGAGGTAGTAAAGTGGAGAAGACAGAGAAGATATTAAACAAATAATATATTAATAATATAAAATTTTGATAAGACTTTAAAGGAAAGTGAGAAAAACCTAGGGGCTATGAGAGCCTAATCTAATCTTAAAGGGCATGAGAGAGAACTAGAGGCCTGGCGTAGAACACTTACATGGAAATATCAGCAAAATTAAATAAAAGGTGTTCCATTATCTGTAAGCTATTACAGCTTTAAATTCCACTGACATTTTGAACTAAATATTGTAAGGCAATGACTCCTCATTACTCGAAGTGTGCCATTCTTTTGCTATATATTGTTCATAGAATACTGAGAGGGAAGATCTAGAAAACATCAGCGGTGATGTCTGCCACAAGACTGAGTCTAGGAGTGAATAATGGAAGCTTCCTGGATGTGGTGAACCTCAACTTTCTACCTCGTGTCAGTCAGGAGTAAACTTGGTGGGACATTCCCCAGAAATGGTGTGTCTTCAGAGGACTGAATTGAGTTGCTTGTGTAGAAGTATCTTGCTAAGAAAATCTCTAATTTTAAAAAACATTATGCAAGAGTCGAGGGGATTGTAGAAATCCATCTTAAGAACCTGCTGCTTCATTGGATGCAGTGAGTCATAGACCTGCTGATTAAACAGGATATTTAATCAGAGATCCTGAAACTCAATATTAACATACCCCATTTTCTTAAGTAGAATAGTGTACTTTTGCCTTAGATGTCTTCTTCGAAAGATAGCTACTTTTTTGTGCCTGAATTATTAGATTCCCCATATGCTAGCCCTACTCTATCTACTGAACCGTATTTCACACTCTTCTTCAAGTAAATCCTTAGTCCTTCAGAGGATGTCGTCATTCTCCCTGACTTTACCAACCCAGATATCACTCTAATTCCTTTGTCCTGTCTGTGCTGCAGGATAGAAACATTCTGACTGGTCTCCAGTTACTCAGATATGGCTCATATATGGAGAACAATTATATTCAGTATATTTTTAATACTTGAATATATTTTCTTCATGAGAAACAGGCAGTTAAAGTATGATTTTGAAAAGGCAAAGGTATAGTCAACATGTAAAAATCAAATAACATGTATTCGAGTTTTTATTTAACAATTGAAAAAATCAGTAATATATTACAAGCATTTCAAAGGAGACACTGAAGATGAGACACGTAGGCAATCAGGAATGCTGAAATGAAGTTGGTAATAGATTTGAAACTGGTTAATATCTATAGAGCAATAAAACAATGTTTGGAATCATCTATAAGAGTGGAAATCTATAGCATTTCTACTAGAAAAAATCATTTGTATATCTATGTACCAGTATAATTTGCATTATTTTTAGATTTTTCCAACTTACAGAGTTGTAAAATTGTAAAGACAATAAAAGGCATAGGCCCCTGTGGAATTAGATGACCCTGGAAGGTCCACCAGAGCCAATGCAGCATTCTATTGCAAGGACACCCAGTACCATTTTGTATATTTCAAAACGTTTTATAGTTTGTCTTACCAGGGCAGTCAGGTTTCTCTCAGTAATGAGCTCTGAAGTACAATTGACCCCTCAGTCAGCACACATGGTAGATAACTTTAGGGGAAGCCAGGATCAGGATTAACTCTTACAAGGTGTGGGGAGATGAGCTGTTAGGTAACATGGATCCAGAAGAGACATGAAGGTAGAGAGGGGGAGACTCAGGGGCTGAAAGTATGTTTGTGTACCAAAGGCACAACAGACTATATTTTCATTTATTGCATTTCTTGTAAAATTTATTTTTCTTTGAAAGAAAGCTACTGTTATTTATTTATTAATTATTTATTTATTGTGGCCTGAAAGAAGTTCAGTTTTTATTTATTTATTGTGGCCTGAAAGAAATTCAGTTGAAATCAGTGCTAAAGGAGATTGAAAAACATTTTGTGTCAACCAAACCTGTGGTAGGCTACGCTGAAAATCCAAGGAGATAATTGCAACAAAACCTTTGATTCTTGACATGGTTAAATTGTGAAGCCTAAGCTGGGATAGATGTACTACATGGACCAGAATTACCCATTCAAAATGTATTTATGGACTATATACCACAGGCCCGGTAGTGTGCTAGGGACCTTGAAAAAGAGAAGGTTTTTGCCCTCATGGAACTTAATATAAATTACAAATAAATAATAACCCTATATAATTGACTATGTCTTTTTAAAATTGTATTTTATTTTTTAAATTGACAAATAATAATTGTACATAATTATGGGGTACCTAGTGATGTTTCAGTACATATCATGTATAGTGATCAGATCAGGGCAACTAGCATATTCATCTCTAACATTTATGATTTCTTTGTGTTGGGAACATTCAACGTTTTCCTTGTAACCATTTGAAACTATAGAGTATGTTATTGTTGGCTATAGTCATCCTGTAGTTGTATAGAACCACAGAGTGCTGTGATAGCACCTAGAAGCAACAGCAAGGTCAGGATCAGGAACCTTTTATGAAAGAGAGAAAGCTGAAAGAATAATGTGTGAGGGATGAGGAAGAGCCGGGAGGTGAAGAGGGTACGGGCAGAAACGTATTCTAAGACTTGGATCCCAGAGAGCGCATGACAGACTCAGGTAACTCCGCTAAGCATTTCAGCTAAACAGAAATCTATCTGGTAATGGGGAAATAACCAGAGATAAGGCTAGAAAGCAGGAGTTAGGGCAGAGAGAACCTGGAGGCATGCAAAGAGCTTGCATTTTATGTTGTGGGTAGTCAGTAGGCAAGGAAGAGTGTTAAGTCCGTGAGAGATGTCACCAGACTTACATTTTTGAGAGATAACTGATTGCAGCCTGGATGAGGGGGACAGAGGTAGGTGAAGAGGAAGACAAGACTGACAGTAGGGCGGTCCATGAGAAGGCTCGTGCAGTAATCCAGGGAGTGCGCACATTTATCATGGTTTTACGTTTGGTTGCCATCATCTGGACGTCTTCATTTTGGAGAATTCCTCATGTTCTGAGGCTCAGTGAGAAACTGAACTCACTTGTAATGGGATGTGAAATCTCCAAGTATTTTCTTTCCCAGCCCCTTGGAGACCAGACACAAGTCTTGGCACTTGGCCTAGACAGCGATTAGATGTGTTCATCTTGGACTCTGAAGTGAGAGCTGGTGATTCAGAGGAGCAGTGGGTCCAGGGTCCATAAGATAGATGATAGAAAGGAAAGAACTTGGTAATTGATTAAAGGCAGAGGCAGTGCAGAGGCAGGATTACAGGTTTCTCACCTCAACAACCAGATGACAGTACCATAAACTTACATGCTACAAGTGGAGGAACAAGTTTTTTTTTTTAAGCTTGATTTTGACTTGAGCCTTTTGCAGTTGAGGGACCTTTGGTAACTCTGGTGTTGATGTCTAGGTGATTCGAGATGCTGATCTAGAGCCCAGGACAAGGAAGAGCAGAGCCGGATTGGGGATTATTATCTCATGGGTAGCACTTTAAGACATGGGAATGCATAAGGTTATCGAGGAGAAAAGGAGAAGATAGAATCCTTCAAAGAATCAAAGGGAAGCAAGGAGAGCTAGATGTCATGGGAGCTGGGAAAGAAAATATCTCAGGAAGCAGTACGTGTCCTTTTGATTTTAGCAACTTGGGAATATTTAGCACCATCGCAACAGCACTTTCGGTGTACGCAACAGAAATATAAGCCAGGTTGCTGTATGGAAGGAAAGGAAAGAAGAAGGAAAGAAAGAAAATATTCCAGGTGTGGTGGATTGTTTTGAAAAGATCATAGAAAGAAGGAGAGACAGAAGGTAGTAGCTGAACAAAAGTATAGACTCCGGTGAGGTTTGTTATACATTTTTAGGATAGAGCACTATAACATGTTTTACACAAACCGAATTAGGCAGTAAGAAGAGAAAAGCTGAAAATAAATGTAAGAAAGTGGGACGATTTATAGGTCGGCTCTCAAAAGATGTAGGAAGAAATGAGTTATTATAGGACAAATGGAGCATGAGGTGTTCAGCTTCCAGTAGGAAGGAGGCAGTTCTTTCATTGTTAAAGGAGAGAAGTAACAAAGGGTGTGTGTGTGTTGGGGTGGGGCAGGGGCGGTAAGAGAGAGAGAAAGATGAGATTCTCTGCAAGAATTTGTAATAGAAAGAAAGAGTTCCCATACTGAGACTTCTGTGCATTGGAAGTTTATGAGGACAGAAGATGATTTGAAATAGCTGTTGTAGAAAAAGGGAGAAAGAAGTTTCCTAAGAAGGATTTATGGGCAGAGGTGAGGGCCTGGTTGAAGTTAGGGGTGACGTATTTATAGTGTCATTACTCTGTGTGATTGTGTGATTCTCTCTACCAGAGCTCAGCCATCCAGTTGAAGCCATCCAGCAGAGATAGATGATCCCGGTTTGACATGCAGGTAAAATGGGAGGGAAGTGAGCAAGGCCATTGAAAATATGGTCAAGGAAAAGGTGACCTTTGACATATATGCTGGGTTAGAATTCATGGGTAGGAGTTTGAATGTAGAGATTGTCTTTTGTTTTTTTGAACCAGTGTCAGAGTCGAGTAGTTGCAACTGAGACTGTATGGCACATGAAACCTAAAATATTTACCTGCACTTTTACAGAAAAAAATTGCCAACCCCTTCTACAGAACACTAGCTGCCTGATGAATTCATATGACATATATAAAGGCTATTAATAATCACGATGATTGATGATGATGATGACTAATAATGGACTGCTTACCCTGAGGTGGGCATTGTGCCCAGAGTCATCATGTAGATTATTTCGTTTAAAATCCTCACAGCAGCCTCTGGTTTAGAAAGAAGGAAATAGAGGCAGAAAATCTGAGTGGGAGAACCAAGATTTAAGCTCAGGGAATAACTCCAGAGTTTATGTTCTATGTACTTTACCATCTTACCATTGTAGTTTTCATAATTGAGAATCCTAAGCAATGTATCAGACTAACAAAACTGTGGGTCAGAAATCAGAGTTCTGCTATTAATTCAATTGTAGTTTAGTTCCAAATAAACATAATATGATACATTTTAAAACTTCACAAGACACATTGTATGAGAAAACTTAAAGCAAACTTCTGAATGATGAAAACACTTTCGATTCTTAAAGGGAGTGTTTGCTGGAGGCAGAATAGCTCACCTGCTTATTAACTCATATTTTGGTTTTAAAGAGGCGCCATCTGACAGGATCCAGTGGTCAGGATTAGGTGTAGCTTTAAAACTGCTTGCACATTGAAAAAGAAAATAATAGTTCTATGGCATATCTGGTTCAGGCTTAATTTGCAACCCAGTTATTGCTGCGGGAACATGCACGTGGGCTAGGGAAAATGCTCATTCAAGGAGGATGAACAAGGGCAGTTTCCAAGTGGGCCAAGTTCACTGGAAATTTGTGCTTCAGAGATTTCCATGTCAGTCAGCACTCCAAAATGAAAAGGTCAAAATCAAAAGGAATGAAACACAACCACAAATATCTCCATCGTTTGCCTGAGATTTCATGTTTTCTGTCAAACAGTGCTCTTGGTAATTCTATGCTGGTGTGATAGACACAGAAGATGAAATAGACTAAAAAGACCCACTAATACTGCTGTTAATGAGTGAAGAGGAAATGAGGTAAACACCAAAGCCATTAGAGTGTTTCTACTCTAGTAAGTAGCATTGAAAGATTTTGAAATTTTGAGGAATAAAGGATTCTTTGGCATCTTTAAATTGTCCCGTCCCCTGCCTCCTCCCTTTTCTCGGAAGGAATCTGAATTTCCTAGAAATTCTACTGCTTCTTTTTCTCATCCTTGTCTTATCCATCACCTGCAGTATTAGCAGTTTAGCTTAATTGTCATTTTCCCTAAAACACTCATTAGCCACAGCTATTCTTTTCTTTTCTTTTTTTTCTTTTTTCCCCGAGATGGAGTCTTTCGCTTTGTCGCTCAGGCTGGAGTGCAATGATGTGAACTCGACTAACTGCAACATCCGCCTCCCAGGTTCAAGGGATTCTCCTGCCTCCCGAGTAGCTGGGATTACCAGGCACCTGCCACCACGCCCAGCTAATTTTTGTGTTTTTAGTAGAGATGTGGTTTTACCATATTGGCCAGGCTGGTCTTGAACTCCTGACCTTGTGATCTGCCTGCCTCAGCCTCCCAAAGTGCTGGGATTACAGGTATGAACCACTGTGCCCGGCCAACCACCACTGTTCTTTAATTTGCTTGAAGTTGCATAGCTCTGTGTTCTTCACCATGGAAGAAATGACTCCTCCTTGGCCTTGCCCATCTTATAGTCATGCTTCCTTTCTTCTACTTCCCCTTCCCGGAATAGTAAGTTGAATGTGAAATCAATGGAGCAACTGCTTAGTTGTGCAAGAGAAGCTTCAAGGAGGACAAATATGAGCCAGGCATAGTTATTCTCCTTACATGATCTTACAATCCAGGAGGAGGGATTAGACAAGAGTAAAAAATAACTCAGTTACAAGGAGGAGCGTGATAATTGCTATTAAAATAGTTTCAACAAATTGTGGTAAGGGATAAAAATGGTAAGAGAGATCATAGTTACAAACTGGGTCACGTCCCTCTTTTGGTTTTTATTTTTTTCCTATGATGCTCCCTGGCTGGAGAAAAGCTCCAAAGCACGATGTGCAGGTTAAACATGCCCGTGGACAGTCTGAGCTGATGGAAGTTCTCCAGCCTTACCCTCCATCATCACTAACACACATGCACTCAGGCCTCCCTGGCCCACTCACCATTCCTCAGACATTTCAGGTTCTTTCTGGTCTTCACACCTTTGCACTTGCTGCTCCTTTTGCTTAAAATGTGCTTCCTTTCTCTTTTTCTTTTCTTTGTCTTTTTTTTTTTTTTTTAGACGGAGTCTCGCTTTGTCGCCTAGGCTGGAGTGCGGTGACACAATCTCGGCTTTCTGCAAGCTCCACCTCCCGGGTTCACGCCATTCTCCTGCCTCAGCCTCCCGAGTAACTGGGACTACAGGTGCCCGCCACCTCGCCTGGCTACTTTTTGTATTTTTAGTAGAAACGGGGTTTCACCGTGTTAGCCAGGATGGTCTCAATCTCCTGACCTTGTGATCTGCCTGCCTCAGCCTCCCAAAGTGCTGGGATTACAGGCGTGAGCCACTGCGTCTGGCCCTCTTTCTGTTTTTCAGGCTCCAGTTCATCCTTGAAAACTTTCTTAAATTTTACCACTTTTTGGTACTTTCTAACAATTCCCCAATCAATATAATTTGCTGCTTCTTCCAAGCATGTCGCTTCGCATTGCATTTCTCATAGCAGTCATCATATTAAATTACACATATTTATTTAGAGAATGCTTTCCTCATTCAACTGTGAGCCCCATGGAAGCAGGAGCTGTGACTGCCGTCTTTGTATGGCAAATGCTTAGCACACTGTCTAGGTTATGGCAGATGATGGAGAAAAGCTAAGAAATACCGGGTGTTTGAAATGTGGTTTGAGCCCTGGATAGGATTTGACAGACCCATGAACAAAGCCATGAGGCAGGAAATGTTCTGATGTCTGATTTGCTTTCAGCCTCCCAGAACCTGCTGTGGCATTTCTCTGGGACATGCTCTCTTCAGCTAAATGTTATTCTGCTCTTTGGAGTGAGGGTCTCATTCTGTCTCCTGGCATGGACTGAAATGGCATGATCATAGCTCACTGTAGCCTTGAATTCCTGTGCTCAAGGGATCCTCCTGCCTCATTCTCCTGAGTAGCTAGAACTACGGGTGTGCATCATCAGGCCTGGCTAAATTTTAAAATATGTTTTTGTAGAAACGAGGTCTCCCTTTTTTGCACATGCTGGTCTCAAACTCCTGGACTCAAGGGATCCTCCTGCCTTGGCCTCCCAAAGTTCTGGGATTACAGATGTGAGCCCCTGAGTGCAACTAAATGTTATTCTGCTCTTAAACTAGGTTTTTCCTCAGTTTTATCAACTGTTACTTGTGCCCCAGGCTCTATTTTCTGGTAAGAACTTGATAGAGTAATCAGTGCTAAATGTTAGTGTATACATACAACACATAACTGTGTCTACATATAAAATACACTTTACCTGCTCATTTCGCTAATAGGAAATCAGTCATAGGTCAGACCTTGTGTTAAAAAAAAGGTATCTATAAAGACATGGATGTTAATGTTTCTCATTACCCTCGAAGACAGTTTCTTATGAAAAAATTTGGAACTAGAAAAGCATTCTATTTTCTGGCAATTCTGTTAGACAAAGAATTCTGTAAACTTCGATGACGCTTTCACATGGATACTAGCAAGCTCAGGGTTAAATTTTCCGTCATAGAAATTCAGATGTTTTTAGCTAAAAAAATTTTTTTTGCTTACTTTTCTCATTGTTTTATTCAGTCAGCATTTATTTATTGAGTGCCTGCTATATGCTAGGCACCTCTTTTATAGGCCAGGGACATAGCTGGGAAGAAGATTCTCTGTCCTAGGAGGTAAAGATTCTAAGAGAAAGGACAAAGGTGGTAAGTTGAGAAAACATTTCAAGTTCAAAGCTTTTTATGCTTGATTTGATCTTCTATATTTTCTTAATTGATTCTGGGCAATTGTACTATGCTTTTATTGCTTACAGCTTCAAACTAGCTTTGAAAGTTGTTAGGGTGCAAAAATATAAGGTAAAATGAAATGCACATTCGCATGTTAATTTCACATCTACAAACCACTGCTGTTTTGGACGGCACACCCTTGGCGGGGAAGGTGGTGAAAGTCACAAGAGGAGAACGTACTCAGGTCAATGGTCCTTTAGGTTCCTTCATAGTGTACCATGGGGGCACTGCTGTGTCACCTCATGGCGCTCTGAAGGGAAATTCTCCCAGGTGAATTTCGACATTTATGCATAATGCCAGACTCTTCCTCTTAAGCAAACATTTAGTGAAGCAAAGGTTTGGGAGGGTTGGCAGATATTGTGAGTCATTACAGAATGCTATCCACCTTGAACTGTCAACGGGCAGCTTATATCCTTATAAGCATCTTGGCTTATCCTAAGCAAATATTGCTTTCAAATGTAAACGTCCATGGTGACCTATTTTGTTAACCCCCTGGGCATATCTCCTTCTCCTTTTTTTTTCTTTTTTTAAATTTTGGAGATAGGGTCTCATTCTGTTGCCCAGGCTGTAATAGTGCAGTGGTGTGATCATAGCTCACTGCAACCTTGACCTAGTGGGCTCAAAGGACCCTTTTGCTTTAACTTCCCAAGTAGTTGGGACTACAGGTGCATGTCACCACGTCCTGCTAATTCTCTTTTATTTTTTGTAGAGACAGGATCTCCCTTCATTGCCCAGGCTTGTCTTCAACTCTTGGCCTCAAGCAATCCTCCTGCCTCAGGCTCCTGAGTTGCTGGGATTACAGGCACAAGCCAAGAGGCCTGGCTATTTCATTCTTTCTTAAGGAATTTTATGTCACTTAATTTATAGATTACTTCTAATTGTAATTTTATGGTTTGCAACTTCTCCCTAAGTTAGTGTCATCTGAATTCTGTTAGATTCATGTTATACTATAAAATATAGAACATATAAATAAGTTTTCATTGGTATGTGTATTATACATTTGACATAAGTAATTTTATGAATCTTATCTTGGCATGACTATCTTAATATTTGGGAAAACATTTATTTTTTAGTTCCCGAATATGTACTGTAGGCATAAATGTATATGGTTCACATTCATATATGAATATACAAATGATAGAAAAGATAGACAAATTTAAAAATTATGACTACCATTTACCTTTAAAGTTGCTGACTTTTGGGGATAGATTACCTGAAAGCCAGCTCTATGATATTTGGGAGAATCCTCTCTGTTGTCATTTAAGAAATATTTATAGGGGGCTGGGCATGGTGGCTCAGGCCTGTACTCTCAGCACTTTTGGAGACTGAGGCAGGAAGATTGCTTGAGTCCAGGAGTTCAGTACCAGCCTGGGCAACATAGTGAGACTTCATCTCTACAAAAATACAGAAAAAACCCCAAAAACTTAGCTGAGTGCAGTGATGTGTGCCTGTAGCCTCAGCTACTCCAGAGGCTGAGGTGGGAGGATTGTTTGAATCCAAGAGTTCAAGGCTGCAGTGAGCTATGATCAGGTCACTGCATTCCAGCTTGGGCAACAGAGTGAGACCCTGACTCAAAAAACAAACAAGACTCCTGGGATCACCCCCTGGCGTGATCACCCCCTGGCATGATCCCCATGAATCAAGGCACTATTGACTGTTGAAATGGAAACAGGTTTCTTCCACATGGAGGGACTTGGGGAAGACAAGGAATATACATGAGAAAGAGCAGAGTCCAGTAGAAAGAATTCACTGACAAACAATGCAAGTTGTTCCTACATAACAGCTTGGGAGTTACCTGCTTTCAAAAGTGAACAGTTTGATCTTCAGAGCAATCCATGGAGTAGATGTTATTTTTCTATTTTATGTTTTGTATTACCCACAACTGCAGCAGAAAAACGTTCAATTATTTGTCCCAACCAGAGCCATCAGAAAGTGGCAGACTCAGGGTGGAAGCCTGCATTTAACTGCAGTTTTCTTTTCTTCTTGGGGATATTATAGGAAATTACTTTAAGAATTTAGATAAGGGGAAAACTTTTGAAGTCTATTCATGAAATACTTTTAGAGTTGACGAAGAACTGCTACAATTTTGAAAGAAAAAGTTTGATGTTAGAAAAACGCTGACAGACAGTAAGGATCACTTAATACCATGAACCACATTCAGCAGATTCTTTAGAGAGTCCAGATGGAATAGCTAAATTCCCACAGTCATTTAAAAATGTATATATAGAAAGGAATAAATATATGAAAATAATTGGAATAACATACACCAATCAATCAACACTGACTACCTCTGTGGGGGGATTTAGGCAGGGGTAAGAGTTGAAAGGTGGGACATTCAGGGGGATCTTTTGTTGCTTTGTAATTTTTGAAAAAAAGTTTTAAGTGAATTTTAATTTTAGGTTTAGCAGTTTTATTTATTTTCATATTTAAGCAATTACTAAAAAAGTAATGCAAACTATTGATACAAAGATTTGATATTGAAATATCTTTTAATAAAACCTAAACTATGAAAAACAAAGTTAGAAAGGCTTTAACACTTTATTTTCGTGCTTCAGAATCACAGGCAACCCCTAGACTAAATCAACTCCCTCCCTCCCTCCCTCCCTTCTCCCTTCCTTCTTCCCTGTTTCCCTTTTGCTACAAAGGGTCCTTTAGGGCAAAAGTCAAACATGAAAAATTTATGAAATTTTATATTTGATGCAGAAAATGTACTGCAATTTTATAATTTATTAATACACATGGATTATTTTCCTTTCTAATTATTAAATAAATTATCATTGCAGGAAGATATATTTATCCTACAGTTTTAAATATCTCTTTAAACAGCATATTTAATCTCAATTTCAAGGACATAATCTAATAGCTCATTTAATGCCAAAACAGCCAAATAAGATACTTTACAGAGTTTTTGAAGTTATCCCATGTCCTCTTCATCTTATCAACTTTATTCACCATGCTAAGTCCATTGCAAATATTTAGATTTTACATCTGAATTATCCATTTCCACTACCATTATCCAATTCAGGGCTTTATTCTTCTCACTTAAATTCAAAACCTATTCACCAAATTTGCTTCTATATTCTCTAATATGATTTAACAGTTAGAAATTTTAGTTGAAGATGTTTTGTTCAATCTTTGTTTTCTTTGCTGTAATCTCACCAGGACACAGTCCTTAACTCTAGATGGCCTGAATTTCTAACTGGAGCTCAGTCATTGCAGTACCCTTTGACAGCCTCCACACACATATCGTTTAAGAAGTGGAGATCTTGTCTGGGCCTTGCAGATTTCACTTGGTATCTCTTAAAGAACTTGTCAGATTTATTTTTAAACGTGAATAATGAGTGCCCTCTACATTTTAAAAAAATGAGGTAAGGAGGTCAAAGTGATTCTACTTGTCTAGTGCAATCCAGATCGTCGTTCTATTGTGAAAGATGCTATAAGGCCAGTTTTAATATTTAACTCTAGCAATAACACAGAGAAACCCAGAGGAAGAGCTGACACAGAACTCCTGGGATACAGACCCTAATCCATACCAGATTCTAGGATGCTGGAGGACTAATTTGTATTCTAGGAATGTGTAATCATGTATTTACAGGGCAGTTAGTGGCCAGATAAACCTCACTGGCCTTCTCTACTGTTAGCTATAACTTGTCAAAAAGACTTTGATTTTTAAAATCTGAATAATTGAGGTGAGTATTCAAGTTCTTTCTGTGAGAAAAAAAGATGGGAAGGCATCTTTATCATGCAATGAGGATTTAATTTCTGCATATATGTGACTGAATAGATTTTGAATAGTTTTATATTGCCAAGAAATGGGCTTTATATGTCACCACATTATTCATACTAGAAGGCAATTAGTATTTTTAGCAAATGTTAATAAGTAATATGAGCCTGAAATCATTTTATGTCAACCTCCTCTATTGGATTCAAGACAATTTCATGTGCAACTTAAAGCAACATGATAAAAATTATACTGTGATGTTTAAATTTGACTGGACTCCAGAGACTGCACTGTGGTTTCCCTTAGTAAGCGTTATCTTATTAAAAGTATGTAAATTTTATGCATGAATATAATTTAAAATACCTACTGTTACTATCCCAACTCATTATGTCCAGTGAGTTACTTTTAGAATCTTTTGAAAGTGTAATTAACAATTTATAATGGACTAAAATCTAAAGTCTATCACTGTAAGCCATTATTACGTATTTAGCTTAAATATGGGTGAGGATCTAGAAAACTGCATTTTCCTTTTCTGTGAAACGTAACATGTACACTATCTTGACAAAAGCTGGCTCCATAAATACATTAAATTCTTTTGGAATTGATAGCACCAACTTAGCACGCTTAAGCTTAAACAGAAAGTATAATTCTCTGACAGCAAAGGCAGAGATAAAGTGGGCAGGCAAATCTTACGTATTATGTGTTTTTGGCAAAACCATAACATTCTCATTACTTTTCCTCTCCAAGCAAAAGAATAATTAAGATATTTTCTAAATATATCATGTGTTCAAAAAACCTTTTATAGTTTTTTTTTTTTTTTTTTTTTAAGTTCTTAAAATGTTGCCGTACTAGTTAGTATATTAAGATACACCTTACAGACCTTTTCAGTGCTTGGTCAGGTTGAAGACTCCAGAGAGGTGATGAATTTCAGATGAGCATTTCTTCTTTTCTGGGAGAATGGAGGTTGGCCTTGCCTATTCATTAAAGACTGCCTGGTCCGTAGTCACTTTGAGGCAACTGTGGCTTCAGACTCTCATCTGTCCTCTTCCTCCACTCAGCTATATTTGGTAACTGAGCTCATGTTTCAGCAGACTGCCATGATCAGGAATTCCAGCAGCGGGCTGGGAAGCACCCCCAGGACTGAGGGCTGGGTTCTTAGAAATAAAGCCACTTAACATAGAAGGAACTATATTTATGGATCTGATAAACATAGGATTTAAACACATTCTTCTATACTTTGGACTTGTAGCTGGAAATCACCACCTGCCCCGTTAACATGTTCTTAATCAATTTAAAGTACAGTATGTGACTCCAAGTAGAAAAAGTGATAATCCAAATGGAAGCTCTTCTTACTGTGATCTTCTGCTCTGTGCATTTAAATTTTGATCATGTGCTAGATTATCCTAAAATAGTAAATTCAGTAACTGAAAATTTAGCCACCTGGCAAATTGAGTGGAAAGTCCCATTGTTCTCTTACTTCATATTGCTAATTAAAAATTGATATATGACTATGGTATGTATTAAAAGTCTTGTCTATAATAGTATTAAATAAGTGTGAACACACAGGGACTGGTCTTATCCACGTGGCAACATTGAGTTCTTAGCTCAATGCCTAGGACATCATGAGCATCTAGTAAATATTCGTCAAAGAAATAAATAAATGTTGAATGAATAATATTCAGGAAAAGTATCAACCCTCTTACAGTTGCAAAAAATGTTTCACAATCATTTAATATTTTGATCTTTCAAATGACAAATAGAGATAGCAAGAGTTTAATATTTTGATCTTTCAAATAACAAACAGATAGCAAGAATAGAAAGCTTTTCAGTTTAAAGGTCAGATAGCAGAGTCAAATACAAGGGGGCACAAAGAGCAACACAGAAGCTCCCAGCTAACTTGGAAATGGAGTGCTGAGTCTTCCTTTGTCTGGATAAGACCATCACATTTGATTTAGTTTAATATCTAAAGATTTTTTTTTTCTGATGGTAGAAAATTTGTGAAGTATTTTCTTTATAGGAAATTGTATTGTATTTTCTTTATAGGCAAAACTGGTCCTTTATAAATGGTTCTTTCTAGAACTGGATACTTCTGTGGGTCATTTCATCTATTATATTAATTAAGAAGCGATTTTAAAATTTATGCTTACGAGGGAAATACAAGTCTCGTTGATTGTCTTAGTTTGTGCCATTACAACAAAATGCCACAGACTGGGTAATTTACAAAGAGCAGAAATTTATTTCTCGTAGTTCTGGAGGCTGGAAAGTCTAAGATCAAGGTGCCAGCAGGTTTATTGTCTGGTGAAGTTCCCATCTCTGCTTCCACAATGATGCCTTGAGCACTGTGTCCTCACATGGCAGAAGGTGGAAGGGCAAGAGGGGGTCAAACTTCCTCCATCAAGCCCTAAGGGCATCAAATCCCATTCATGAGGAGTCCTCCTGAATCACCTTCTAAAGGTTACACCTCCCGACACTGTTGCATAGGGGATTAGTAATTAACATAAATTTTAAAGGGGACAAAAACCTTCAAACCATAGCCTTGATTACACATATGTTTATATCTGCTTTTTCCTAAAGCCACAAGATAATTGTAAAAAACTGAAAAGGGCAGAAATTGGGAGGGAAGACAATAGAAGATATCAGAAGTGAACAAAACTATTGGAAAGAGATAAATATAAGTATGCATGTAACTAAATTACAAAACTTCGATGCCTGCAGGAGGAGATGCAGAAAAGCAGCAAGTGATTCACCCCATGGAGTCTCAGAAAGGCTTGGAAATTGGAAGCAGTGAACTGTCTTTAGAAATAATTTTAATTGGCAACTCTGATTTTTGCCTCTGCCTTCTGGTGAACTGTGAGTCTCATGGTGAATTCCAGAGGCAATCATGCTGGACTCCTGACCAGAGGAGGCCTCTCCCACATTTCTTTGAATTGCTTGGTTCGTAAATCCTGGTACAACACCAGCGAAGTGATGAAGCCATAAGAAGAAAAAAGTAAAAAAAAAAAAAAACAGCTTGTGGTCCTGAGAGAGGCTTCAAAGCCAGGTATGATTTTAGTCAAAAGGACAGAGAAATGTGACCTTTTTGTGTATGTATTATAAACAGTGCAGCAAACCAAGCTTGTTTTAAAAATCTTTGAAGAATTTGAGAAACAGAAGTTCTTTTCCTTAGAAAATTGGCATCAAAAAAGAAATTGAGACAGTTGACCAATACTCTTAAGTGAGTATAGCAAGGTCCAATTGATATTAAGGATGAGATTAGTGTGTGGACAGTAGTATCATTTCTTATGCACTTTCATATTTCCCACCAGAGCCCATTTCTGTGTGCACCAACATTGGGAAAGGTGGTCTGTGGCTCCTTCACGGGGCTGCAGTTCAACTTTCAAATGATTACTTCTTCTTATAGAAATTTCTGCTCTTTTGAAGCACTTACATTTGCATCAACCATCCTCCATCCCACTTTTTAAAATTAAGACTTTGGATCTAGTTGGGCTGTTGGTTCTCTTCTTCACTCCACACCCTGCCATTATTCTGGGTGACTCAGCACCCATTTTTCTATTCTATACCTTGGCATATTGGTTTTGGACCTGCTTTTCTCTATGAATCTTCATCTCCGTTTCTCTTATAGATCACACAAACAGACCTCCTCCACCTCCAAAATCAGGTATAACTTATCTACTGCTTCATAACAAATTACTGCAAAAATTAATGTCTTAATACATATTTGTTATTTCACAGTTTCTATGTGTCAAGAATCCATTAGTCTTAGCTGGGTAATTCCAGATCAGGGTATCATGAGATTGTACTGAAGATGTTGCCCCAGCTTCTTTCAGGTGGAAGCATGGCTGGGGCTGGAAAATCTGCTTCCAAGGCAGCTCACTCACATGCCTGGAAAGTTAGTCCTGTTATTGGCTGGAGCCCTGTTGACTTCTCTGTGTCACTGCCTGAGTTTCCTCACTTCCTGGCAGCTAGACTCTGCCAGGGTGTCTTTTTTTTTGTTTTGTTTTGAGGTGGAGTTTTGCTCTTGTTGCCCAGGCTGGAGTGCAGTGGCACGATCTGGGCTCACTGCAACCTGCGCCTCCTGGGTTCAAGCGATTCTCCTGCCTCAACCTCCAAGTAGCTGGGATTACAGGCGCCCGCCCCATGCCTGGCTAAGTTTTCATATTTTTGGTAGAGATGGGGTTTCATTCAGGCTGGTCTCAAACTCCTGACCTCAGGCGATTCACCCACCTTCGCCTCCCAAAGTGTTGGGATTACAGGTGTGAGCCACAGCACCCGGCCCCATGATGTCTTTTATGATCCAGCCTTGCAGGTCATATTTCATCTTTTCTGCAGTATCCTTTAGTTATACAAACTGGCAGTATCCACTGGGGGAGGAGACTGCACAGAGGCGTAAGAACCAGTTGGCAAGACAATGCATTTGTGGTCATCTTGGCAGTTGGCTACCACACCTCTATTCCCTTTAACCCATCAGTCCTACAACCACATTGGGGCATGCTCTGTTTTCAGAATCACACATTCAAACATGTTATTTGACTGTAAACTTTCTTCCTCTAGCTCTCTCATATACTGATTTTTCTTCTTCACCAGATTTTCCAGGCTGTAGATCACTCTGTTTTGAGATTATCTATCAGTGTGCCCCCCAGGTTCAGGTCAATCAGGGAAACTGGTTTACAAACTTTGTTTTAGGAGATACTCTCAGGCAGCCAATAGAGAAAGTAAAGGTATTCTAAGTTTCCTTGATGAAAGGGGTGTGCAAAGAAATGCTGCAGACTTGCTCATTCATCCCCCTTTGATGTTTTCTTTCTCTTATGATCCAGGAAGTTTGAAAATCCCAAGTGTCAAGAAACAAGTCTACTTACTCCCTTTTCACTTTTATTCCTCTCTTTATTCCTGGCATCAACCATCAGGAAACAAGGATCACGGAGCATGTGAGAAAATGGTAACTGAGAAGTCTGATCAAAGAACACACTAAAATTGGAGGCATGAAACACTTGCAGAATTGTCCTAATGGTCCATCTGGTGATCCTGGGAACAAGTGTCTTTCAAAGCCATGACCAGTCTTTCTACTTCTTCCTCATACTTTGTATCTGGCTTGCGTACATGTCACAGAATCAGGTATGGCCCCAAAGACTTGTCTGATTAAACTGGTATATCTATCTGTACATAGCAGTGAACTCCACATTTGTCCCTCATGAGCTTGATTTTATGAAATGTGGTTAAATCTGCTGCATAAATGTAGCCTGAGCCTGTGGGTGGTCTTTTGGTCAAATGTTTCTGCTACTTGGGATGTTTGCTAACTGGTGCATATGCACAAAAATGAAGAGAGAAACATAATCTTACGATGATTAGGTAATAGAAGTAGAATTGAAATAGTCTGAAAACAAAATCTATGTCTATATACGAGTATTGGGGTACAGTTAGATATTATGATCCTTAGAAATAATCTCGTTTTCTATTCCAAATGTAGAGAAAGTATTTAGTGTGAACAAGTCAGTAAAATTAATTTCAAAAGCAGATTTTATTGAATTTAAGCAAATAAAATAAGTCTTAGAATTTACAAAGAATGACATCATTATATCCTTATATTATCCCTTTATCATTGTGTCATTATTCAGTAATATAAAATTGAATGAGGAGAGATGATTGCACATTGGTGTTTTGAATAGTAAAATAAAATTTGAAAAAAATAGTAATAAATAAAAGCCAACAGTGTATTAAAAGAATAATACACTTTGGACAATTGGGTTTTAGCCAAATCATAAAAGTTGGTTTAACATCCAAATTTCTAGTATTTAATTCCTCAAAAGAAACTCAAATGAAAAAAGCCATATGGTCAGCTCCATATATTGTTACTGAGTCTTCAGACAAAATTCAATATCTAGTCCCAATGAAAAAAAAAAAGTTTGTGAGAAGTGAAGAGAATGGTTCTACTTTAACATTATATATTAAGGTATAGGTGCGTGTGTGACTGTGTATACATATACATATATGATGCAATATATAGTAATGAGATAAAACACCAAGGAATACTAACAACTAATATGCAGGTTTTAATGTATACTAAAGAAGAGAAAGGAATGAAATAATGAAATAAATGGAATGCTATATTCTGTTCTTTATATAGGAAGAACTGAGTTTGTAATGTAATCAGTTCTTTATCAGAATAATCTACAAATGTCATATAATCTCGATTAAAATAGCATTTTTGCCAGGTACAGCAGTTCACACTTGTAATCCCAACATTTTGGGAGGCTGAGGAAGGAGAATTGCTTGACGCCAGGAGTTCAAGACCAGCCTGGGCAATAGAGTGAGACCCTGTCTCTAGAAAAACTAAAAAATTTAGCCAGGCTTGGTGGTGTGTTCCTATAGTCTCAACCACTTGGGAGGCTGAGGTGGGAGGATTGCTTGAGCCCAGGAGTTCAAGGCTACAGTGAGCCATGATTGTGCCACTGCACACTTCATTCTGGATGACAGAACAAGGTCTTCTTTCTAAAAAATAAAAACGAAAATAAAAAATAAAGTAGCATTTTTTGCTTTACTTAGAAAAACTGACACAAAAGTTTACCTAGACAAATTAGCATGGCAGTATATCCAGGAAAATTGTGTGAAAAGGAACTCTAAGGGCAGAGGAGTAGCCCTTCAGTGCTACTGGAGCACTAACAAATTTCTTATGGCAAGACAAGGAATGGAGGAATGGATGAATAAAATGACATATTTTATTCTTGTATGGAAAGAACATTAGTTTGAATTGGCAGTATATATGAAATAACTACATACATTTTGATTTATTTCTTGGCCTTGTTCAGTTCCACTGACTTCCCCCTCATTATTAAAAAACTGGATTCCTGTTTCTCTTCATTCAGCCAATTGAAGTTCTTTTGGCTCACATGAATTGGAAAAAAAATCATAGTGGAATGGATAAATACATATGTAGTCATAGAAATATATTCAAGATTTAGGATAAAAAGTGTATACACAGGAGTGTGTTAGAGCATCATCATATTTGTATGTATAATTATATCTATTTTTATAATTTGTCTCTCTCTCCTGACATATGAATAAAACATTTTAAAGTTTTCCTGGAAGATGACAGTTTAATTTTAGTGAGAAAATGCATTCTGACTAGGATACAAATAGGGTTGTACGTTGACTCCAAAGTACATGCTATATTGTTATTTTAAAAATGGTATCTGAGAAAAACAATGGCATCAGAGATTATCTTGACTGTTACTGTTTCTTACTCTTTATACTTTTCCCGATCAATAATTACGATTTTTAAAACGTGTGTTCTAAGGTACTAAAACAGGTGATGTAGAAATAAAATATCCCAAATATAGCATTAAGTGAAACAAACACATCATATACTAGTTATTATATCTGGACGGTAAGATTAAAGGAAACTTGCATTTTTTTCTTTTTGTATTTGAAATTTGTATGTGTTTGCATTATATTTATCATCAGAAAAATTGCTGGGCTCAGTGGTACATGTTTCATTGTTGTATTTTTTTTTTTATGTTTACTTGGGAGGATGAGGCAGGAGGAGGATGAGGCAGGAGGATCCCTTGGGAGGATGAGGCAGGAGGAGGATGAGGCAGGAGGATCCCTTCAGCCCAGGACTTCGAGGCCAGCCTGGGTAACATAGTAGGACTCCATTTCTAATAACAAAAAACAAAAATTCCAGTCATGAGCCTAAAGTCCATTTAATCTTTAAAAACCTTTCTTAATTGTTTAATCCACTAGAGAGTAAAATTTTTTGAAGTCTTTGGGTATAAAATAGAGAATAATCAATTAAAGAAATTTTGAATGCAGTATGTTTCTATTTGGAGAATGAAAAAAACTTTACTGATTTTAAAAATCTTAAACCAGATTTCCTCTACTGTGGAAAGCTCTTGTGTGATGATTTGCACATCAGACCCATATACAAGTGAACGATATTCCGCATATACTGTATGAACATTCCTCTTCATCTGGCAACCTTTAAAATGTCATAACCTTTGATCCACTCTATCTCTGGTCTGCTCCAAGGACACAATCCTAACTACAGTAAACACTTTATATAAAAACACATTTAATTCTATATTATTTATGGAAGCAAAAAAATTGAGGCAATCTAAATGTTCACATTATGGAATGACTTAATAAACTCATGGAATTTTAAAGTAACTGTAAAATATTTTTCTGATGTGTTTATATTAAAGGAAAAATGCTGATTATATTATGCTAAGGGAAACAGGAAGATAAGTCTTTGAAGTCTGAATATAACTTAAAAAAAGTTAAGACTATTTGCATGGCTGAAAGTTTTAATGCTTTAAATTGAGTTGCTTTGACATTTTACAACATATGAAGACATCAATAAACTGTATAAAGTGATTTGTTTTTTCCTCCACCAGAAAGAAAAGGCAAATCTACCAAGATAATTAGTTATTTAGAATGATCTAAATCAAAATGAACAATATTTTGTTTCTCTTAAACTTTGCATTTTATATGCCTCATAGAGATACTTAGCGATATTCAACAACCTTGCAAATGGAGTGGTCGCTGCCAGACAGCTACGAACAGCTGTAGAACAATTTCAGAAGCTGCTTACCCAAGAAGTCTAATGTGGAAGGATGTGGCTGTCATTGCCTGGGGAAGCAAATAGGAAAGAATATGACAAAGGAGGAAATCAGCTGTTGGACCAAAGAATTTAAATATTGAAAAAATGCCAACCATCGAAGACAGTTGCTCTCTCGCACAAAATCCCAAGACCTGTCCATACTCTACTTCTGTCAGCCTAGCAATTTGCTCGGCTATTGCTATTTTGGGAAGGAATTTCCACCAAGCTTGGCCTATCTTCAGCCCCTGAGGTTTTCTCTGATTGACTGATCAACAGGTGTTGAAAAAGCCTGTTGCAGAAATATCACAGACCCAGTGTGCTCATCTGACTTCTGTAACTGTGACTGTAGTTTCATTGAATATATTGTTTCTTAATCAAGAAGGCTTTCTCTGCAGGGTAAAATCAAACAGATTATTTAGAACATTTTTAGGTAATTACTTTTCCATAGAGACAGCATATGCATTTGTTAATATGCTTTATTATTTATGAGTTATAAATTGAATACTGTACTAATGATTGTACAAATGAAACCTAAATTAATATAACACAGAATGAACTTGTCAAAGCAATATTGGTATTATAAGCATAAAAATGCAGTTAGCCCTCCATGGACTCTGCATTTGGTGATTCAACCAACAGTGGATCAAAAAAAAAAAAAAAAAAAAAACAATGAAACATAATACAAATAATATAGTATAACACCTTTTTATAAAGCATTTACATTGTATTAGGTATTATAAGGAATCTAAAGGTGATTTAAAGTATATGGGAAGATACACCTAGATTATATAAAGCACTACACCATTTTTTTAAATAAGGAACTTGAGCATCTGTAGCTTTTGGTATCTGCAGGGGGTCCTGAAACCAATCTCCCTTGGATACTGAGGAACAACTGTACTCCTATTTTTCTAAGCTATAAAAGGAAATTGAATGGAATCAAGGCTAGGTTATCCAAGTGTACCTGATTCCTGACAAGCCCAGTCTGAATGATGAGCAGGACTTTGAATTACTTTGACAGAGGTGTACCCTATAGGGTGCCCACTCAATCATCAGTGAAGCGGGCACCCCAGAGCCAGGAGTTTCCGTGGAAGTCTTCACCTACCTTGCCTACCTCCAGTGGGTTGTGAGAGAACCTCTCCTGAACCCACAAAACAGGTTCAATCAAGTTCCACCTTCCATTCATGGACTTTCCCCTCTTCATTGCCTCACACAATGTCATAGCCGGAAGAACTGACCTTGTCTGACCTCCCAAGAGAAGATATCTTACCCAAGATCACAAAGCGCCAAATGTCAGCTGGGCTGAGAAGTGGCTGGACCTATTCTTTGACTGTCTGGGCCAGCCCAGCCTGGGGAAGTGCTCTCAGTGCAAGACCCATAGTCCCTGAAAGCTTCACAGAAGTGGGTGAAGATGGGGAGAGAGCTTCTCCCCTCCTAGTTAAAGACAGGAATAATCATTAACGTTGCTTAGTGTTGCCCAATAAACAAGCTTAGCAGATGACTGAGAAGGCAAGGAAAGAGGATCAGACTTGGGATCCAGAAGCTGAGATGACCCTAGGGAAACTATTCTGCCTCAGGCTACTCTGAGGAATTGGGAGCTTTTAACTGGGCTGGGTAGGCAGCTGTTACTCACTGGTGTTTATGCCTGGTATGAAAAGGTGACTGGGGGAGGTGGGGAGATTTTAAATCAGGCAACCATCATAGGTGTAGACGGTGAGTAATAGGGAAATAAATGGAGTTCAGTGGGTGAAGCCTTGTCCTTTGAGCTTTTCTGAGAAACCCAAGTGGTATGTAGCTAGACGGGGCGGGGTGGGGGGGGCGTGGATGACAGTGGGCCAGAAACTTGATAGAGGGACACTGCTCAAATAGAAAGCCATGGGGGAAGGATGAGGACTTCAGTGATTCCTCTGAAGAAAAAAGAAGTAGCTTTATGAGAATAGATTAATTCGGATCAAGGGAGTGAGCCTGGGCAGAGGTTTTGAGTAAAGAGGGGTGGAGTTTTACAATGTGAGTCAAGAGCCAACAGCCTGCTGGATCGTGCAGGGGTGAGGATGTCGGTGATAGGGCAGACCCCTCCCGGGGCAGAAGGGCTGGAATGCAATCGGTGCCCCACAGAAAGGACTAAGATCTACTGTCCCAGCAACCCACGTTCACACCTGAAAGCAAGGGTATAGGATCAAGTTTCCAAAACCCAAGAGATCAGCTGCAGTGCATACCCTGCTCCCTGGCCTGCTCTAGTGCCTGTCTCCATCAGGGTCACCTCAGATGGGAGTGCTAGGGCTTACCAGCCATCTGTCTGAAGAATTAACTCTGAGGCATTCATTAAACACACTTAGACCATTAAACCTCACACCATACGCCAACATAAATTCAGGTGTTAAATGGAAAAAAAAAACCAAAAAATAGCCATAATAAAATACATGCTTTTTTTTTTTTTTTTTCCCCTCTATGGTAGTGAAGGAGTTTTCTGCCCATAAGGGCAAATGAAGAAAATATAAAGGCACAATGTGATAAATCTGATGACTTCTAAAAGTTCCTAACTGTAAAACTAAAACAAAATCTTCATTTAAAAAGAAGAAAAGGCAAGTTAAAAAAATGAAAGGAAACCTTGGCAAGATGTGTCCTTGCAATTCAATAAGAAAAAACACATGGATAGGAAAATGAGCAGTATATTTAAAATTTATAAGACGATAAATCTATGAAATAATATACAGTCAGCCCTCTGTATCTGTGGCTTCCACATCTGTGGATTCAACTAACCATGGATCAAAAATATTCAGAAAAAATCTGTATTGAACATGTACCCTTTTTTGTCATTCTCTAAACACATAACTGTTTACATAGTATTTACATTGTGTTAAGTATTACAAGTAATCTAGAGGTGATTTAAAGTTTATACGCAAATATGCCATTTCATAAGGGACTTGAGTATCGACGAATTTTAGTATCCAAGAGGGTCCTGGAACTAGTTCCCCATGGATAACTAGGGACAACTACGTATTACATTATTTTGACTTAATTTTGTCTCAAAAACTGTCAAACCACTAGAACAATGATCAGTATTAGAGAAAAAACAAACCAAAAAAGAAAACAATCCAGTGTAAGATTGTCACACACGTAAGGAATACAATTGGTTATACTATTTTTGTATTAAATTTAATTTCTTGATTTTTTCTTTAACATATATCCAAAACAAAAGGAACATGTGTACATGAATTGTTCAAATTTTAAATAAAAGTATAAAATAAAATCTCAATGTATTTGCCATGACATGCCTTCTTATCACATTCAAAGTAAAAGTCACAGTCTCTTTTGTTCTCTGCGATCAGACATGATCTGCCTCCTCACCTTATCTTTGTGACATTCTCCCACTCTTGCCTGGTTCTTCAGCTTCAGCCACACAGGCCTCTCTAATAGTCCTTGAACCCACGTGGCTCACTGTATCTCAGGGACTTCCCTGTCCCTCAGCCAGTCTCGGTCTCTGCAAGAAAAAAGAATGGCCTAACTTCCTTCCAATCTTAAGTCACCTTCTTAGTGGGACTTTCCCTGTCTATCCTATCTAAAATTTCATCTTCTTTTCCCATCAGGATTTGATATTTCCTCTTCTCTGTGTATTTTTTCTCTTATAGCTTATTTTTATCTAACACAATGGTCTTTTTACTTCTCTTCTTATTGTTTATATTCTTTACTAGAATGTAAACTCTGAAGGAAGGAGTTTTTAATATTTTGTATCAGTGTATAAAAAGTGTCTGGATGTTGTAGGTCTCCATACACACATGTTTAGTGAATCCCTAGAAGGGAATGTCCAGAAATTATGATGTTTGAATGCATATGGATTGACATTCCTGTTGCCACTCAACACAAGGCTTTAAGGCTTTTTAAGACAGAGTAAGACCCTGTTATCTGTCTCATAACTCAAGGAAGGACATGCTACCTAGTGCTGCATTCATGGTTCTCAGTATTTCCTGAAGAGAATAAAAATAATGATACCTGCATTTTATTGCTTCGTATCTGATCTCTTTACAACGTTGAAGTCACTTAATCCTTTAACAACTCTGTGGATTATTTTTAACTCCCATTTTAGAGATGAAAGACAGAGGCTAACTTACCCAATATGCTGAAGCTAATACATGATGGAACTGTTATTAGAGAGATCCTCTGAATCAGAACACTTACTTGTCACCATTAAGGTATAGTGTTTGGGAGCTCTAAAAAAAAAAAAGATGAAATACCAATAGGCAGATTTAATCTGAAAGCAATGAGTGAATGCTAATAGATTTTAAGACAGGGAGCAACATGATCAGGTTTACATGTTAAAGAAATTACCCTGGCAGGAGAGTGGAAAACAGAATGGAGAGAGCAGGCTGGAGTCAGGAAATGAAGAGGCTTTTGCAATAAACCAGATGACAACACATGAAGCTCATTCTAGTGAGTGGAAGGAATGACATAAAAGAGAATATGGAATTCAGATGTATCAGCTGTGGTGAGCCAAGATCAAACCATTGCACTCCAGCCTGGGAGACAGATCAAGACCCTGATTCAAGGGAGAAAAAAAAAAAAAAAAAATTATGACAAAAAAAAAAAAAACAAAAAAACAAACAAACAAAAAACCTCAGAGCCATAATTGCAGTGAGCTGAGATCCGGCCACTGCACTCCAGCCTGGGCGACAGAGCGAGACTCAAGGGAGAAAAAAAAAAAAAAAAAAAAGCTGGTATAAAATCTCGAATATCACCAATAGGTCAATAAATCATGGACTACATTGAATTTGGCAATTAATAGGTTATCATGAACGATGTTTGGCAGAGGTGCTTCAGGGCAGATTCTGGTCTAAAGGTAAACTAGACCAATATTTAGGACTTTGAAGGAGAAATGGAGATGATGAATGTATATCCTTATGAAGTGCCATGATCAAAAGGAGGAGATGAGGCCCTGGTGTGGTGGCTCACACCTGTAATCCCAGCACTTTGGGAGGCTGAGGTGGGCAGATCACCTGAGGTCAGGAGTTCGAGACCAGCCTGGCCAACATAGTGAAACTCCATCTCTACTAAAAATATAAAAATTAGCCAGGTGTGGTGGCATGCCCTTGTAATCTCAGCTAACCAGGAGGCTGAGGCAGGAGAATTGCTGGAACCCGGTGGGCAGAGGCTGCAGTGAACCGAGATCGTGCCACTGCACTCCAGCCTAGGCGACAGAGTAAGACTCCGTCTCAAAAAAAAAAAAAAAAAAGAAATGAAATAGGGCAGGGCTCATTCTTTTAATTGTTTTGGAGAGGAAAGTGACTTTATCATTTTAGTGGAATGAATAGTAAATGCCAGTTGCATTAGGTTCCTATTGTTGCTATAGCAAGTTTCCACAAACTTCGTGGCTTAAAACACACATTTGTTACAATTCTGGAGGTCAGAAGCCTAAAAATCAAGGTATTGGTGAGGGCTCCATTATTTCTAGGGGCTCTAACAGGGAGTCCGTTTCCTTTTCCAGCTTCTACAGGGCAGGTGTATTCCTTAGCTTGTGGCCCCTTTCTCCATGTATAAGCCAGCAGCACAGCATCTTCTTTCTCCCCTGATCTCCTGTTTCTCTCTTATAAAGACCCTTGAGATTACATCGGGCCTACTCTGGAAAATCTAGGATAATCCCCCATCTCAAGATCTTTAAATTAATCACATATGCAAAGTTCCTTTTGCCATGTAAGGTAACATGCACAGGTTCTGGGGATTAGGGCATGCACAGCTTTGGGAGCCATTTATTTGTCAGTGCACACTCTGCCCCAAATATTCTCATCAATTCCGTATGCAAAACGAACCATTCTAAGGTCCCCGCAAAGTCCCGGTGTATTACAATTTCGACTTAAGTCCAAAAATCCCATGTAAATTTCATCTGCTGAAAAGACCTAAATGATTAAATCAGGTATGGTTGAGACTTTGGGTATGAACCATCCTGAGGCAAAATTTCTCTCCATATAGTGAACCTGTAAGACTAGAAAACAAGTTATTTGCTCCCAAAATACAATGGTGGGACAGGAATAGGGTATGAGTGATAGATATTCCTGTTCACAAAGGGAGAAAATGGAAGGAGAAAAAGCCAAGAAATTTCAAAAATCTGCAAGGTTAACTCCATAGATTTTAAGGCCTGTGAATAACCATTTGTGTCTCTAGGCCCTGTCCTCAGAGTTATCCTTCATGAAAGATAGCACAAGTTTGTGGCTGAATAGTTTCATCAGACTGTTCGTTGCTTACGAAATTCTGGGAGTCCTATAACCATCTTTCATTTTATTGTCTCTCTGTACCTTTCAGTTCAAGCTAGCAGTGTTTCTGCCGATATTCTCAGAAATCTTTTGGATTCCCTGTGTATGTCACAGAGTTCTTTTTGAGGCACTAGCAAAAGGTTGTCCAACCGTACTCATGACTTTCTCTCCAGAGTATGTTTTCCCAAAAGCGAATCTCTTACTTTTACCATCCTTTGCAGTCTTGAAATCCTGATAATTTCCCACATTCTCCTTGTCCTGGTTCCTTTTTGATAACAGTCCTTCCCTCTTATAAGGACCCTTCTCATTATATCAGGTCCCCAGATAATCCAGGGTAATTTCCTCATCTCAAGATTCTTAGGAATATCTGCAAAGTTCTTTTTGCCACATAAGATGACATATTTATAGGTCCAAGGATTAGGATATAGACATCTTTGGGGGACCATTGTTCAATCTACCACAGCTGTGAATAGAGGTTAACAATATAGGAATGGAGTGAGATTCCTGAGGAAGCTGGAGGTAACCAACTCAAAAGGGAGTGGTTATATTGTATATGGAGCATGTCATGGGCTTCTTGGACTAGATGGATGTGTCAGACAGTTGAGAGGAGTCTCTTTAAAACAGATATATTCTTAGTGGACTTGAAGAGAACAGCAGGATGCTCTAGGGTTTTAAGGGCCACTGTAAAAAAGATTGGGGACCTATAGTCATAAACAGTAAATTTGAGGTGAAAAATATTAGATAATTTCCTTCAATGTCCTGGTAAGGGCAAAAAATGGTTTACTAGATTCAGGTGATCAAGTTGCAGGGCAGGTGCACAGGAAAGTGAGTGGATGGAGTAGTTGAGAATGTTGGTGAGAGGAAGGTTCAGTGCCTGTTCACAGAGTTGACCCTGGGGAGGTGAAAGAGTGAGGCTCCTAAGGAGGCTGAGAGATTGAGGCAAGGGGGAAGGCTCCAAAAAGTTGAAATGGAGTTTATGATTTTCAAGTTTCTGAATAAAATCTAGGCTGGAGTCATGGTAATATCTTATTAAAGTGGAAGAGAACTGAATATTGATTTGGAGTAGAGTCTGTTTATGTGCATCGTACATATACTTTGGGGTAGGAAGTGGGATGTATGGAGTTAATATCTAGGGAATCCCCACCTGATATATCTATTTCTTTAAGACAGAAAAACAACAGCAGACAGTCAATTACATTAAGAACATGTAGGGCCCACTGCTACAATCAAAAGAGGAAATCCCCATTAAATTGTATGTGCTTTGGGGGCGGAATAATGACACTGTAGTATTTAAAAGAACTGGAATGAGATAATATATACAGAGAATATTGCAGATATTATCTTTGGAATTAAATTTTGAAGTCTTGGCTACCATTAACTACCTGTAGGGTCATGGACAAGTAATTGAATTCTCTAAGCCTTATTTACCTCTCCATAAAATAGCAACAGTAAAGTTGCTCATGAGCTTTCTGTGAGATTTAATGTGATAACACATGTTAAGCTCTCAGCCCATTGCCTGGCACATAAAAAGCTCAATAAATGCTGTTACAACAAAGCCCAATTTTCTGCTGCTAGCAAATGCATTCTTATGATACAAAGGTCCAGTATCAGATGCTAGAGAAGAACCCATCTGAGATGAACTCATGACTTAATCATGAGTCATTTCAAGTTCTTTCTCAATGTCATCCTCATTGAGAAAGACAATCATAACTCTTTTCAACCGAAAGAAAAAAAGGAAAATCCTAAGAGAAGTGAGCAATGTTTTCACCTCCTTTTCGAAGCCACTTTATATTCCAGAGTCTAAGAAAAAACTACCCTTCTGGGCTCTTCCTATTGTGAACAAGTCACTTCCTCCCTTTCCTTTTCTTGAAGACAGAACTTCTGGTTTCGAATTCTCTCCATTTATTACCCAATGTCGTTACTGGGGCACCCTCACCACCATCTTGACTCTCAATATATTCTGCACATGCATAACATTATGGAATTAAGTGTCTGGAGCACTAAGGGGCACCATGAGCTGGGGTTGAAACTCGAATTTCCAACATTAATGAGCTTGATGACAAAACTAAAGAGCATTCTTCTCAATTTAAATTCTTTGTGATATATGATTGGCCTTTCAAATGTTCACATTGGACAGTTATAATATTGGAAATTTTTCATAAAATGAACTTCTTAGGACAGAAACTCAAAGCCCCTAATCTTTTTTTACTCGATTTTTGCATGTCCGGTACCTTGCCGGAAAAGAAAAACACCACACCTCACCATAGACGTTCACAGTGCTTACAGTGCTGCGTTTACTCTCAGCCTCAATTCCTTGTTTGGAC